AATTTTAATACTATCCAGCGTTTGGCACGACATTGAATAAGATAATGTATTGTATAAAATAATATTATCCAGTGTTTGGTAATACACTGTATAATACTGTATAGGATAAAAATAAATATTTTTGACAAAAATACCCTTTAATGAAGAATTTATATAATCTTTACAAATATGTCATATGATATAATTTTTATAAAAACCTATTGATGAGTATGTCCAAAAAAAAAGTATAAATAAAAATCTACAATATTTTTTTTAAAAAAATCATTAATATATATATGTATATATATATATATATATATATTAAATTAAAACAAATTTACTGTGGTTTTACGGTCCATAATGTGCTTAACATTACGTCACAATACCATGATTTGTAAAGTTCCAAATACCCCTACAGTTTCTTTTAGAAAAAGACATAAGTTCATCCAAAACAATAATGTTGATAAAATTGTGTAGTTGCTTTTGTTGCTGAATATGGATTAGTAGGGAGAAGTTGACAAGCCTCATGGTACCATAGGCCAGTTAATTAAATTACATACTTGAAACATATATGTATATAATAACTTTCAACAAATTAAAACATAAAAATGCATAACTTTAAGGTACAATTTAAATTTAAATGCAAAAGATAAAAAAAGACCACATATAGACTTAATGAGCAACCCAATCATTGTACATTTCATTAGCCAATGCATCTCTCCAAGCACTCCATGCTTCACTTGTATCAATGGTGTGAATGGTGTCTATGTTATCATGTAGCTCTTCGTTTCTCCTATTAATTGCATCACGCAATACCCTAGCATCTGAAGCTGAACCCTCGCAACCCGGCAACACATACACAAATTTCATGTCTCGTGAGCACACTCCTAACACATTTGTGGCAATTTCACCTTTTCGACTTCTATATCTTGGCTTGTCAGCCTCAGGAACATTAACAGTAATATAAGTTCTATCTAAAGCTCCAAGACAACCCTGTAATAGATAAGTACTGCAAGTGTGGGCTTAACTTGGCGTTGCTTCTCTCTATTTCCAGATTCTCTCTCTTGTCCGCCCCGTCCCCGCCGAGCTTCTTAAATACGTCAATCGCAAGGTCGTCTAGTTCGTCACTGAGTTGGACTACTACGTCCCTACCAACGTAAAAAAGGTCTCCTCCCAGGCCTGACCCAGTTGCTTCTGTTCCCGCAGGTGGCCAACGTCGTCTTGCCGAGAAAGGATAGAGAAGAAAGGGGATGAAGCAGAAATGGGGTAGAAAGGGAATAGTGGGATTTACTTAATACATCATTTTTTTATCAGGGCTAATCCCACACCTCTAGCCCTGATTAAATTATACATCATTTTGATGTATTAAAAAACTCTGATGTATAAGCTTATACTATATTATGTCACACCAAACAACTAAAAATGTCATAATGTATAGTATAAGCTTATACTATCAGGTCTTATATAGTGTACCAAACATGCCCTAAAATGAGATAAACATAATCCATAGACTATTTGATCTCATAAACTTTGTTACCCTATCACACAACAATTTAACCCCAAAAAATAAACAACTAGCTAGATGAAAATGTATGAATGATTTGATATTACAGTTTCAATAAACACCTCATCTCAACGAGTTGTGCTTGTTTTATTGGCCAATACCGTGATGATTTCAAGGCCCTTTCAAATTTAAAGGTGTGGCAGAATGCACTAATTATTCCTTTAATTCAAAATGCACTGATTTTCTTGGTTTGATATATCAGACTTCTACAATGTCAGTGATCCATTGTTTACTAATGAGTTGAGCCGAAACTGTTTTGGTTACCCTAAGTATCACAGTAGACATCCTTGATGTATTACTGATAAGATATTATGGAGATCACATGTAATAGGATATGAATGTAAAAAATGATAAATTTTAAAAAATTACTAGACATGATATAATTATAATATAACCCATAAAATTAAAATTAAGATAATACAAAATTTAAATTAAAAACATATTTAAAACAACCATAATAATTAAATAAGTTTTTTAAAAAACAAAAACATAAAAAACTGTTTGAATACTTCTTAACCAAAGCTAAAAATTGTAATTTAAAACAACTGTAGAAATAATCTTAAAACTTTTAATCATATAAATACATTGTAAAAAATTTTCAAAGAGTATTTTAATGCATAAAATATTTAATATATTTAGAATAAAAAAATATTTCATATTTGTAAAAATCCATTGCCTTTGAGTTGAAAATATATTAAGAAGTGATTAAAAATATTAAGAAGTGAATAAAATGACCCACTAGTGAAATCCTGCTTCCGTAAATCAAACTTTAACATTTCTCATTTTTTTAGCTTGTATAGCTGGGTGGTTTATCATCATAAGCATTCATTTATATTTTTACCAATGTTAAAATAAGCTTTTCCAAAACATTTTATGAAACGAATTCAGGAGCTCTTTCTTGTATTTAAAAAGAAAAAGAAAACAAGAAAAAAGAAAGAGCTCTTCCTCATAAATGTTTATTTTCTTTATCAATAATATTCAATCTTTGCAACTAAATAAAAAAAAAATAGCTGCATGATTCGCATGACGTTTTTGTCAAAAAAAATAAAAAAAATATGACTTTGACGGAAGAAAGTTGTATGATAAATGCTTGGATAGGAGTACTAGGTGAATAATTATTTCCTCTCAAATGTTGACTATAAACTTTTCCAAGTCGTCGTCTTCTTCTCTCTCTTTTTAATACGATTTTGTCCCTTTAGGATATCTTATGGGAAAAATGTGTATAATTTTGAAGGATGTAAAGTTGTGTCATTTTAAGAGAGAGAAAGAGATAGATAAAGGAGGAGAGAGTTGACAAAAAAAAATAAAATTGTGGGTCCCACCTCTTTGTAAGAGTGAAAGGATGTAAGTTGTGTAATTTAAAAGTATAGACACTTTTCCCCTTATTTATATATGGGTTTTATAAGAGTTATCTTGTAGGAAAAGTAATTGTGTAATGTTATAGAGATTCGTTTTGCGTGCTTTAACTTTTTTAATTTTTTTTTGTTTTAAAAAGTGTGGTCTCACAGAATGTCGTGTGTGTAGGAAATTTGATGGTGTCATGTTAAAGGACAAACTACAATCCCTTTATATATATGGGTATTGACAAAGCAAATATTCGCAACAATCAATCTAATATTTATGACCGCAATCTAAATGATGAATCCAGTTTGTTTGAAACTCATTGAAGCCATATTTATGGTGTGTTTGGTGTTGCAGGTGGAACTTGCTTGTGCAAAAGAGGTTAGGCGCATACAATGTGAATGAATGATGAATCCAGTTTGTTTGTTTGATATTTATTGAAGCCATATTCATGGTGTGTTTTTTGTTGCAGGTGGACATTGTTTATGGAAAAGAGGTTTGGTGTATACAAAGAGATTTTGTGGATTTTATCACTTGTCATGAATGATGAATCCATATTAATTTATGGTGTGTTTTGTTTTGCAGGATGAGCTTGTTTCATCAAAAGTGGTTAGGTGCATAGAAAGGGAGAGGGAAGCACTCCTCGACTTGAAGGGTGGCCTTGTGGATCACTATGGCATGCTGTCATCTTGGACAACTGCTGATTGTTGCCAATGGAAGGGAATTCGTTGTAGCAACCTTACTGGCCATGTATTAATGCTCGATCTTCATGGAGAGTCTCGTTATAGATTCTATGGAGATTTCGACGAATTAGTCTCACGACTTTATATCTATAATGACCTTTACATTTATTATAGATTTAATATTGAAGGATAATTATAAAGAAAAAGAAATAAAGTCACCTTTGGTGAAAGAGGAGTTAAAATGACAGTTAAGTGGTAAAAATGCGGGTAAATAAAGTTATCCAAAAAGTGAAAGTAAATAGAGAGAAGTGACTAGAAAAATATTCTAGTCTATTGGGTGAAGTTTGGTAATAAATGGAGGTGCATAGATAGATAAGCTTATACCCACTAGAAAAATAAACTCACTTAAGTGAGTAGTGAGTCACTGTTTCCCATTCTTCTTCGTCGTCAGACAGAGAGCAAAAGGAGAGAAATGGAGGTTTTGAATAAAAACCTTCCAAAATTCGTAGAGAAAGCTAGAGACCTCCAAATCACTCCGTTCCAAAGCCAAACTTGTGAGAAATTTCAAGAAGAATCCATTGGTACCAGTATTTCTAGGTGGGTTTCACTGTAGAGAGAGATCTTCCTCATCTAAGATTTCGAATTTCATGGATAATGGGGATTTTGATGGAGCTTCAAGCTCCCAATAATGGGGATTTTGATGGAGCTTGAAGCCATGGGAGCTTGAAGTAAGCCTTCCCCTTCGTTCTAGGCAAGTTTATGTTGAGAAATCCTGGTTTTCTTTGAGTTTTGAGAAAGATTGAATTTAAGTTTTCATTTTGAAAGTTTGGTTTGATTGAGCATGTTAGTGCTTGATTGAGGCTTGGCTCATGTTGAGAAAAGTGTTCGGATGAAGATTTTAACGGTGAAAATGTATTTGGAAAAATTGAGATACCGTATTTTTGAATAGTGACGTATATGAATAGTACCGTATACGTGAATAGTGACGTATACATGAATAGTACCGTTGAGATGAACAGTACCGTATGTATGAATAGTTAAGAAATATTTGATAAGTAAAAGATGAAATCAATAAATGGTGTGTCTGGTTAACTACTTAGTTTTGAACCATTTTATTGATATTTGTATGGATTTCCTATTCTAGGTGCGCCTAAGAGTCTTGTTGAGGATCCTACATCAGAGGAGGCTTGGTAACTCGGTTGTTGGGTAGGCCATCTATACAGTTTAGAGAGGTAAGCTCTATGTTTATGGGGTTCGCTCCTACTTTGTGTTCCGCCATAGTGTACGGACTGTGGTCAGGTTGTATGATATGTATGAGATATATGATATAGATGCATTCATATAGAGCTATATGATAATATGATATGTTTTGTTTTGATGTATTTACTTTGATATGTGTTAATATGATATGTTTTGTTATGATATGACTTCTGTAATATGATTTCTGTAACAATATCTGGCCATTGATTGTATAGTACCCGGATGTTCGCTTTGGGTCCTCCCTCGGGACTGATGGTGTACGCCTCTGATATGTTCTGGTTCCGCTTTGGGGTCCTCCCTCGGGAACACGTGCGTTGATTTCCGCTTGGGGTCCTCCCTTGGGAATGACTGCGTACGCCTCTGATATGTTCTGGTTCCGCTTTGGGGTCCTCCCTCGGGAACACGTGCGTTGATTTCCGCTTGGGGTCCTCCCTTGGGAATGACTGCGTACGCCTCTGATATGTTCTGGTTCCGCTTGGGGTCCTCCCTTGGGAACACGTGCGTTGATTTCCGCTTGGGGTCTTCCCTTGGGAATATCTGCGTACGTTTCTGATAAGATATGTGTATATGTTTTGTTTAGTTATGATATTTGATTATATGACATGTTTTATGGGATATGTATGATGATTTTGTAAATGATATTTGTTACGTACGTTGATTTCCGCTTGGGGTCATCCCTTGGGAACGATTGTGTACGTCTCTGATATAACACGTTTTATTCTGATGTGAGTATTGTGATGATTTTTGTAAAAGATATTTGTTACGTGCGTGGATTTTCGCTTGGGGTCATCCCTTGGGAATGAATGCGTTTGTCTTTGATAAGATATGTATATATACTTTGTTCAGTTATGATAATTGCTTATATGATGTTTTGTATATTATGTATCTGACTGTCATGCAGGAAGTGAGCCCAGGGTATGGAGGGTTTTCCATAAACCTGGAGTTTACTAGAGATTCGTCTCTAACCCCGTTTGGGGATATGATTTCAGGAACACAGTTAATTGAAGAGCCTCATGGGACAAGGACACTAACCGTGGCTAGAGGTACTAGTATGAGGATGTGGAGTTCTGGGTGGTCGGATGCTACTATTTGTTTTAGACGTATTTTCGGAAAAGATGTATTGTTGCATAGTGCTCATATTCGATACATGTACATTTATGTATTCAGGCATGATGATATGGCTATGTAGTATTCAGTTATGTTATGTATTGGATTGCATGCTATTAGATTTGTGGCACGGAGCCGAGTTCAGCATGCGCCCATAGATTGGTATCTGAGTATATTTGCATGACTGGTACTTCTGGAAATATATATTGTTTAAACTGTCTATCAGGAACTCTTGAGAGTGGGATTGGAAAATCTCCAGTTGTCTGATTTACAGAGGTTACTCTGTCCGATTTTCGTCTCCGTAAAATAAGAATTAAATTAGAAGAAGTATGCAATGTGATATGTCATGTGAAAAAGGATTAAAGAAAAAGAAAAAGTTAGTTCGTATTTTCGTAAGTTAAGTCTTCCGCTGTTTCTGTTAAGTATCATATGCATGTTAATTGAACCGGCTCGATGCTGGGGATGTTACATTTATGGTATCAGAGCAGTTGCTCTAGGGAGTTACATGATATATAGCATAAGATATTTGAAGTTGGAAGTTCTTGAGTGTTTTCTTGGAGTGCTGTATAATGCATGTGTGATCACTGAGTGTGAGCGTAGCTAACTCATTCCTTAGTGTAATATATGCAGAGATATGGTTCTTCCAAGGAGGACTCATAGGACATTTAATAATGATGATCCATCACCGGATCTTGTTGTAGCAATTTTTGCTGCACTAACTGAGATTGTAGCCTTAAAATTGGGAAACTTTCAATTCCTTGGAAGGAAATATACCATATGAGATTGGGAAACTTTCAAACTTGCAAACGCTTTATCTTGGAGGATATGATGGTGGTGCTCTTAAAATTGACGATGGGAATCGTGCTGGAGGTCAGTGGCTATCTAATCTCTCTTCTTTGACCCATCTTCACTTGGTTGGGATATCTAATCTTAACCGTTCTAAAAGCTGGATGCAAATGATTGTTAAGCTACCAAAACTAAGAGAACTAAGTTTATCCGATTGTAGCCTTTCCGATCATTTTATCCTTTCATTGAACACTTCCAAATTCAATTCTTCTACTTCCCTTTCTGTCATTGACCTCTCTTGGAACACCTTCACGTCATCCATGATATTCCAGTGGGTGTCAAATATCAGTTCCAACCTTGTTGAGCTTGACCTTACTGCTAACAATCTCTTGGAGGCTCCCCCATCAAGTCATTTTGGCATAGTGATGAATTCTCTTGAGCGGCTTTACCTCTCCTTTAATAGACTCAAGGACAGTGTTATTAAATCCTTCATGAATATATGCACCTTACGTTCTTTATACTTGTCTCAGAATAATTTGACTGAAGAACTTCCATCAATTCTTCTTAACATGTCTCGTGGCTGTGTTAGATACTCATTACAAGAGTTGAATCTGAGAGAGAATCAAATCACTGGTTCGTTACCTGACCTTTCGATATTCACATCTTTGAAAACATTGGATCTTTCTCGTAATAGATTAAGTGGAAAGATACCTGAAGGTAGCAGATTGCCATCTCAGTTGGAGTCTTTGTCAATCGGATCAAACTCTTTAGAAGGTGGAGTTCCCAAATCATTTGGGGACGCTTGTACTTTGCGCTCATTGGACCTTTCCAATAACAGTTTGAGCGTAGAGCTTGGAGTGATATTTAATCACTTGTCTGGGTGTGCTAGGTACTCGTTGCAAAATTTGTATTTGGAAGAAAATAAAATCAACGGCACACTAGCTAACCTTCCAATATTCTCATCTATGAAAACATTGGATCTTTCTAGTAATTGATTAAGTGGAAAGATACCTGAAGGTAGCAGATTGCCATCCCAGTTGGAGTCTTTGTTTATCAAATCAAACTCTTTAGAAGGTGGAGTTCCCAAATCATTTGGGGACGCATGTACTTTGCGCTCATTGGTCATGTCCAATAACAGTTTAAGTGAAGAGCTTGGAGTGATATTTAATCACTTGTCTGGGTGTGCTAGGTACTCGTTGCAAAATTTGTTTTTGGAAGAAAATAAAATCAACGGCACACTAGCTAACCTTCTAATATTCACATCTTTGAAAACATTGGATCTTTCTAGTAATCGATTAAGTGGAAAGATACCTGAAGGTAGCAGATTGCCATCTCAGTTGGAGTCTTTGTCAATCCGCACAAACTCTTTAGAAGGTGGAATTCCAAAATCATTTGGGGATGCATGTACTTTGCGCTCATTGGTCATGTCCAATAACAGTTTAAGTGAAGAGCTTGGAGTGATATTTAATCACTTGTCTGGGTGTGCTAGGTACTCATTGCAAAATTTGTTTTTGGAAGAAAATAAAATCAACGGCACACTAGCTAACCTTCTAATATTCACATCTTTGAAAACATTGGATCTTTCTAGTAATCGATTAAGTGGAAAGATACCTGAAGGTAGCAGATTGCCATCTCAGTTGGAGTCTTTGTCAATCCGCACAAACTCTTTAGAAGGTGGAATTCCAAAATCATTTGGGGATGCATATACTTTGCGCTCATTGGTCATGTCCAATAACAGTTTAAGTGAAGAGCTTGGAGTGATATTTAATCACTTGTCTGGGTGTGCTAGGTACTCGTTGCAAAATTTGTTTTTGGAAGAAAATAAAATCAACGGCACACTAGCTAACCTTCTAATATTCACATCTTTGAAAACATTGGATCTTTCTAGTAATCGATTAAGTGGAAAGATACCTGAAGGTAGCAGATTGCCATCTCAGTTGGAGTCTTTGTCAATCCGCACAAACTCTTTAGAAGGTGGAATTCCAAAATCATTTGGGGATGCATGTACTTTGCGCTCATTGCACCTGTCCAATAACAGTTTAAGTGAAGAGCTTGGAGTGATAATCCATCACTTGTCTGGATGTGCTAGATACTCACTAGATGAGTTGGATCTGGGCATGAATAAAATCAATGGCACATTGCCTGACCTTTCAATATTCTCATCTTTAAAAATATTATATTTTCATCAAAACAGGTTAAATGGCAATATTCCTGAAGATATTCGATTTCCAACTCAATTGGTTTCACTGGATATTTCTTCAAACTCTTTGGAAGGTGTGATCAGTGACTCCCATTTTGCTAATATGTCTAAGTTAGAGTCATTGGACTTATCTGACAACTCATTGGCTGTAGTATTTAGCCAAAACTGGGTTCCATCCTTTCAATTACAATCCATAAAAATGAGATCTTGCAAGCTAGGTCCAACATTTCCCAAATGGTTGCAGACACAAAATAACATCATTGATCTTGACATTTCTCATAATGGAATATCAGATATTGTTCCAGAGTGGTTTTGGGCTAAATTTTCATTCTTGGAGTTGTCGAACGTGAAGCTTTCATACAACAATCTCAAAGGTACAATTCCAAATTTTCCTGTAAAGAATATTCCTTTTTCTTTAACTCTGACGTCAAATCAATTTGAAGGCCCCATTCCAACATTTATGCGGGGTTTTGTAACCCTTGATCTGTCCATAAATAAGTTTTCAGATTCTCTTGGGTTTTTGTGTGCTAATGGTACAGTTGAAACATTAGCCCAATTAGACCTTTCACATAATCAGCTATCTGGACAGATTCCGGACTGTTGGAGCCAATTCAAGTCATTAGCTTATTTAGATTTGAGTCACAATAATTTTTCAGGAAAGGTTCCCACTTCAATGGGATCGCTTCTTGAACTTCAAGCATTGCTATTGAGAAACAATAGTTTAAATGAGGGGATCCCTTTCTCATTGAGGCATTGTACAAAGTTAGTAATGCTAGATCTGGCAGAAAATAGATTGTCAAGACCTATCCCTCCTTGGATTGGGGGCGAATTTCAAGAGTTGCAAATTTTAAGCTTGGGAAGGAATCACCTGTATGGAAGCTTACCATTACAACTTTGTTCTCTAAAAAGCATTCAGCTCTTGGATCTCTCATCGAACAATCTATCCGGACCAATTCCCAAATGCTTCAAAAATTTTACTTTAATGGCTCAAAAGAATTCCTCAAGAGATTATCCTGACCATGTATATGATTACAAGCAAGGTCCTGAATCAGGCGGCGAAGCGTCATATGAATTGAATGAATTCTTAATGTGGAAAGGTGCCGAACGAATGTTCAAGAATAATCAGTTATTTCTTTTAAAAAGCATTGATCTCTCAAACAATCATTTTTCAAAAGAAATTCCAGCAGAATTGGAGAATTTATTTGGATTGGTTTCATTGAATTTATCAAGGAACAATTTGACAGGGAAAATTCCTTCAAATATTGGAAGGCTAACATCACTTGAATTTCTTGATTTGTCAAGAAACCAGATTTCTGGTTCAATTCCTTCCAGTCTTGCTCAAATTGATCGGCTTGCAATGTTAGATTTGTCACATAACCATCTATCTGGAGAAATTCCGATCGGCACACAGTTACAGAGCTTTGGTGCCTCCAAATATGAAGATAATCTTGATCTTTGTGGGAAGCCACTTGACAAATTGTGTATGGAAGCAGAGCCACCGAATGACATTTGGATTTGTTATAGGCTTTTGGGGAATGTTTGGCTCAATTCTGGTCAATCGTTCTTGCCGACATGCTTATTTCAGGATATTGAACAATTTAGTTGACAGTATTTATGTGATGATAGCAATTAAAGTTGCCAAATACAAGAGGTGGCTCAAACACTAGCAGGTAATATTATTCTAGCCCTCCTATATATACTCCGCTTTGCTTTCTACAATAAATAAATCTTTGTTTATTTATGTACATTAAGCAACCATACTATCGTTAAGTTTTTTCTTTTTTATTTATTTAAAATATTAAAACATATAGCTTCAAATGAAACTTGCTTTTAACATTAATTGAACTTACAAACGTTATTGTAATTTCGTAAGTTGTTTCTAAGATACTAATTTGTAATAACATATTCAATAAACTAATATTATAGTACTCTTATTTCTGATTGTAGGATTTATATTTTTGAACTCTTTTTTAATATAACTTTTTTTGTTAAACATGTAAGCTGCTAATTGTTTTCGCACGAAATGATTACTTTTCAGAACCATTGCATAAACTAGAAGAGTTTAATTGATATGTGCGGTTAGTTTAAAGAAATTTTATACCGACATATATCTACTAATATTTTGACATATCATTATTTATTTTCATCACATTTTTAATTAAAATAAAAGTAATAAGTAATGATTGTGTCAATGAGAGCTTAGGATAAACTTCATGTGTTTTTGGTATGACGATGATTTTCAGTTGATTGTTGGTGTTATTTTGTTGAGAAATCGGTTCCCTCAATCTCAGCTAAGCAGCCTTTTCTCTGCGGAAGTCAATCAACAAGATCCTGATATCTGATCTCGGCAATACCTCGACCTGAACTTCACCAGGTCGGACAGCGCAGCGGAAAATCAAAAAAACAAAAACGGGAGGGAGAGAGATAAGGAGAACTCAAACAGTTTTAACGTGGGGAAACCTTCTCCAATGAAGAAGTAAAAACCCACGGGACTTAGTCCAGATCAAAAATTCACTATGAAAATAATGGTTACAAAGAATCCAGATTCACCAATGTGGTGGTTAACATAACATTTCCAACAATGGTGATAGTCAAACTCCTCTAAAGATGTTTCATGTAAGCACCCGCACCGTTAATTAAGGAAATTAATCAGTTAATTATGAGTTTAATGAGATAATTTCATAATTGACCCTAATAATTATTATGAGGCTCTAATAATTGTAGTAAGTGAGTAATAATGCTGAAAGTCGCTTTTCTGACGAAAAGTGCAGATACCGGTTCTGCTAGTCGGTATAAATGCATAGCGAAAAAGTATCCCGAAAAATTATAATAAGTACATGATAATTACTAGAATAACATGTAGGACTTGTAAAACGAGTTTCAAGTTAAAATAATGAGAACTGGTGCCAGAAACAGGTACTGGCTATGAAAAGCGCGTACCAGAAAGGTGCTGCGAAAAATATATGAAAAATATGATAATTCTTGTAAAATTGAGTAGGTTAAGAATTCTGAGTTTGAGATTAAAATGCTAAGCGTAGCTATTTTTGCTAATATTGTGTGGTTTGAGTTAATGAGACTATATATATAACTTTTGGGCTCAAAGCCCTAGGTTAATTCTGTTCCCTACGTGAGTGTTGGCTGGTCAAGGGTGTGTGTGCACTGTTCCATTGCCACTCTTCCCTTGTTCTTGGCAAAATCCCATCAAGAGACCACTTTTCTTGGTTGTTCTTCCATCTAAACACATGTGCCTTGTATGTATTGGCCTTGGGAGGGTGGGGAGTGTACCATTCTGAGTTCGTGGCCTCTGTGGTGAAGTGAAGTGGCTGACTTTGGGGCTGTCTTCTTGGGTTTGGCTTGTGTGACCTTGTTCTTGGCTTCTTGAGCTTCAAGAAGCCCCCTTTTGGCACAAAGGGACAAGCTTGAAGTGTATTTTTGTAGCCTTGTGAAGTCAGAACCTTGGGGTTGCATTGGAGGCTTCCTTTCTGCTTCATTTTCGAAGTTTAGAGCTCTTGAGGTGAGCCTTGATCACCTAAGTGTCATTTTGAGGCCTAAAGCTTGTTTAATCAATTAAATAGAGGAGCTTTAACCATTTGAGTAAAGGAATGTGTTTTTGGGTTCATAACTTGTTGGGGTATATCTTTTTAGGGAGTCATTGGACTCCCAATCGCTTTTGAACCTTTGAATTTGGGATTATGTAGAAGTTGGTTCGAATTTCTGCATTCTGTTGAAGAAGTATTCGAATACTTTTCGTGTAGTATTCGAATACTTGTTCATGGTAGTCGAATACTCCTAGCAGGAGTATTGGAATACTTTAGGAGTATTGGAATACTTTCTGGGAAGAAAAGTATTCGGATACCTTTGAAGAAGTATTCGAATACTGGAAGGTATTCGAATACAGTGAGGTTTGGTATTCGGATACTAAAGTATTCAGATACTGGGGGAAAAGTATTCGGATACTTGTGAGTATTCGAATACTTTATTGAAAGTAATCGAATACTTTCTGGAGAGCTGGAGTATTCGAATACTACTCGTGGAGTATTCGAATACTTCCTGCAGAAACAATATGTAATGAGTTAAAATGAGTAGGAAAGACTTAATCACTTAATGTAATCTGAGCTATGATTATTGATGATTAATTATGTTATGGGCAGATTGTGATTGTGCTGTTTGTGGGCCTTGAGCTTGTGTGGACTCTTGGCATTGGATAGTTAGCTTGCAAGGTAAGCTTTCGTGTCCTCGGTTTAACCATGTTGTGGTTCCACCATGTCCCATGGGGGTATGGTTATATGCATGCTGTGTTACATGCTTTGGATATTTGAAATGCAGTTGAGCTTTATGTGTAATGGCTTTTAATATGCATGTGTTGTTCCATCTTGACGGTAAGCCTGAGTATGTGGCGTTATACAAGACGGTGATCCGGGGTGGATGCAAGTGGCGTCTGGCACTATGTGTGGGTATTAGACGTATATAAATCCTGCATTTCTCTGGCCAGTAGAATAGAATTAACACACATGACATGATTATCTGCTGCATTGCACTATTTTAGAACTGATGATGATAAACTGCTTTTGAACTTATATTGCACATGTAAGTGAGCTTGGGGTGGAAGATCCTTGAGGACCCCTTGCCTTACTGAGATTTCTTGTTTAGAGATCTCACCCCACGTTTGGGGAATGCTTATTTCAGGTTCAGGTAGTATGGGGACTGATGCCTCTGGCGGTAGGAGGCCAGAGCTTAGTTGAGGTTTAGTGCTGTTCATTTTATGCTGGCATGACTGCATTGGATGCTGTTTATGTTTTCTACCATTTATGATTATTTGAGTTGAGACTGATGTTGGGCTTTGTTGTCTTATTTGGGTGAGCATGAGAGTTGTCCATACCACTATGTTGTTAATACTTTTGAGTTGAGTTGTATAAACTGCTAGTTGGTCCGGTCTACGTGTTGTAGCTCCGTGACTAGAGACATACTTATGTTATTTTAATTAATGAGGTATTTCAGTTAGCTGTTTATTGCAATGTACATAAGGCGATGTTTTGAAAATGGTTAAGTAATCAAGTTGGTAATGATTAATGACATCATAATTGAAACGAAAAATATATTCCGCATTTTTAATTAAGCGCAGCTTAATACGATAGTATGATAACATTACCAGATATATACGGGGTGTTACATTTCACTCAAACTCTCTCTAGAGATCTCTAAAAAACAAAGCATAAAGCTTTGCTCTCAAATCTCTCAAGTAATTTTCTCTCAAATTTTCTCTCTCATTCTAATCAAGCCTCCACCCACAACTAATGAATATATAGAGGAGGTGAGATCTATGGTTTAAGGTTTACGGTTTTTAGGAAACCCCTCAATGGGCTTGGGCTTAGCATTGAAGGAGGAAGCCCAACAAATCTCCGCCTCCGAATTCAATGCGTCGGCTTCAGCATCAACCCGGCTCCATCACAACAGTCTTCAAATTTTCTTACTGGAACCGGCTTCGTGACACGAGCTGTCGAACTCGTGCAAATTAAAAATTATTTTTTATTGGGGTTCAGAAAATTTGTAGTAAAGTGGAAACCCTAAGTCGTCTCTCGAGGAAATTTTTTTGGTAAAAATCGTTTATGATGACAGAAACTTAAAAGAGGGGTTTTGGATTTTGATTGAATAATTAAAAAGGCAGAATATAAATTTGGAATAAAAATTCGTAATTAAAAATTAACCAACCTAAGGTTAGGGTTCCATGGACGTCTTTCCTCGGATAAAAAGATATCAGAATCGTGATTGATCGTCAATCGAATCAGAATCCTTATTTCCAATTGACAACCCTCTCTAAGCGATCGCTTAGCATTTGATCAAATACGGTGCTTCTACTCGTACAATCGCAGAGTATCAGCCCGTTTGATTTAAGGTCATAGGGTCAATCAATCTAACCATCAAATCTGATGATTAATCTCTTTCCATAATCGCAATCGCGAACCTCAGATTGAATATCCACGATCGCACGATATCAATCTGAGTTGGGAAGGGAAACGAAACTGATTTAAAACAAAGCGCAAACTCTCAAGACTAATCCATGGAATCCGTTACCCTTAGGTTGATTAAAAGGTTCTTAGCCTCGCATGGCTAAGGTAAACATGATTAAAATAAAATAAAAAGAAGAAGAAGAAGAAAAAGATGAAGAACACGAAGAACACTCCAGAGAAAGTTCTTTGATCCCAAAATACGAAAATTCAGAATCCCTAAAATGTTTCTTACTCTGCCATCATATACCCCTACCCAAAGCGGGTTAGGATTCAGTTCTGATCGGCCTATCTGTCTAAAATACGAAATAAAATAAAACTAAAACTTGGCTTTGGGCCACTTAAGTAATTGGGTTTTAATTTAAATTACAAGTCCAATAATAAAATAAAACTTCAGCAAAATGCGTCCGACTTGGCGTAAGAAATGTACCAGCTTCCAGTCTGAATTGGGCTTCGAACTCTTCATAAGAATTGTAGCCCTCTGTGTTATCTGAAAAACCCAACAAGAACGGAGTCAATCCGACAACTGTGGACCGATATATGGCCAAAATACAGAAGTAACGTAAAGCTGAAAAATTCTGACGAAAATAAATTAAACCCA